ATGAGTACATGAGTACAAGAGTATATATATGATGAAGGCCCAAATACCCAGAATGAATAAAGATTTCTTGTACAGAGCAAGATGATACTTGCATGACAAAACAACCATATTGTTCATCTACTCGTCTCAAGCTCTGATCCAGGTAGGTTAAAGAAAGTCATAGCAGGCAAAGTACTTAATTCAAAATATGTAAAATAAAAACCAGAAATTAAAATAACCATATGACTTAAGATTCCTACTGACTGGATGTAAACAATGGGTTTCAAGGTAACCAGGAAGAATCACACAGATGAGGACTAAGGGAGAGTCAGAGACTATTGCTAGCACCTAGGAGAGTGTCCTCACAGCTAGACAGAAGGATTGACAAGGTGTGTAGACTACACAGAAGAAGATATCACACAAAACAAGTCTCTTAATCCCCTCGGGTATATATCTAAAAATATGATCACTCTACATAAATAATTAAAAATTGCTATTTAATACTATCTGTATTACTTATCCCTAACAACAAAACTGCTCTATTTTATGGGAATGTAACCAATATGTCATGATAAAACTGAACATTAAAAGGTGTAAATGATAGGTTAAACAATGGCCCCCTCGTCGAACTATGTCCACGTCTTAATCCCTGGATCTGTGACTATGTTACCTGACAGTAAAATAGATATAATCAAGAAAGAATCTTGAGATGGGGTGATTATCCTGAATTACTGTGGTAGGCTCCATGTAAACACAAAAAGGGAGGCAAAAATTCAAAGAAAAGGTGAGGTATTCATACAGAGGAGTGAGGGGAAGGGAAAGGCAATGTGATTGGAGTCTTGGACCAAGGACTGAGGACACTCTCTAGAAGCCAGCTAAAGAAAGGGAATGAATTCTCCCCTGTAGTCTCCAGAAGAAACCTGCTGACACCTTCACTTAGGTCAATCTGCCTGATTCTGAATTTCTGCCCTCCAGAACTGTAAGATAGTAAGTCCAACTTGTTTTAAGCCACTAAGTTTGTAGCAGCTTTTGACAGCAGCAGCAAGAAACTAATACAAGGAGGGACCCCCAAACCCCTGGGGTTTATTAATAAAAAATTGTATATATATTCTTACATGTTTAAACTTCAGTCACCCTCAAAGTACCCTCCATTTGATGCAATATACTTATAATGATGCTTTTTCCACTACTCAAAACAGCTTTTCGACTCATCAATTTTAATGCCTTTTACTGCTTCTGCTGTTTTGTTTTATCTCTTTCACATTGCAAATGTTTCCCTTTGAGGAATTTTTTCATCTGGGGAAACAAAAAAAATGTCGCTCGGGGAGAGATGGGGTAAATAGGGAGAGTAGAACACAAGGGTCAAGCCGTTTTTGGTCAAAAATTGCTGAATACTCAGCACAGTGTGGGCAGGTGTGCTTGTAAATCACTCATCATGAAATGGGCAAATGTGCTGAAAGACCTTCCCTCAAAAATTCACTGAAACTGAATGCAGCCTCTCACAAAAATGCTAGTTGGTACACTGATGCCAATGGGTTCCTAGAAAACTTACCTAATGGAAGAACCCTGTACTACAAGGGGCTAGTGCTCCAACAAAATAATTCTGGGTTTTTTTGGTCCCTTCCATATATATTTTGGTACCTGGGAGTGAAGTGCTGCTTATAACAACCACATAAAAATGTGGAAGTGGACTTGCAACTGGTTAATGGTAGAGAACTTTGAACACCATGATATAAAAAAGCTGATTTGCCTTGAACAGACTGTTGTAGAAATATGGATGTTACAGACTCTGATGGGCAAGGAAAAAGTGAGGAAAATGGTAGAGAAAACCTCTACCACCTGAGAATATCCAAATCATCATAAATATACTGATGGTAGAAACATGGATCTTAAAAGCCCTGCTAGTGAGAGCTTGCAAAGAAATGAGGGATCTGTGAATGGAAACTGGAAGAAAGGGAATCCTTGTTATACAGTAGCAGAAAGCATAGCTGAATTGGATATGGAAAACAGAACTTACAAACAAGAATTTGGATATTTAGCTGAGGAGATTTCCAAGCAAATAAGTGAAAATTCATCCCAGTTTATTCTTGTTGTTCATATTAAAATACAAGAGAAAACAGACAAATTGTGAGTACTGTTAAGCAAAAAAGGAACCAGGATTAGATAATTTGGGAAAGTTTTAGCCTATCCAAATGACAAAAAAATTCAAAGAGATACACTGTGAGGAAAGTGTGCTTTGGAGAGAAAACCAAGAAATGGGGCTGTACAAACCTTTGTTAGTGCCTCTGAAGGATCAGTATATTCAGTGACACAGAGGGCTCTTTGAAGAAGTTAAGCATATGATTCAAGTATCCCTTCAGGCATTTCAGCAGAATTCAAAAACAGCAATGAGTTATTCAAGAAAGATGCGAAGAGGAGCCCCTCTCTAATAGAGTGATCCTTGTGACATACATGGGGGACTCACAAGGTTTTTGAGAGTGTTATACCATCATAAACACTGTCAGTTTGGATTGAAAAAAAAGAAAGACTAGGGGAGGAGAGAGAAAGGGAGGGAAGGGGAGGAGGAGAAGATGCAAAGGGTGAGAGGGAGGGAAGAGGAGGGAGAGAGAGAGGAGAGGGAGAAGGAGAGAAAGACTGATTCAAAGAAGTCTATCTGACTTCTAAAATTCTACAGGCAAAAAACAGGCTGATAAAACAACTCACCTCAGATACATACCACCCCTAATTTTAAAAAGTAAGGATATCCCAGAGGGAAGAACCATGGGTCAAAAGGGTGAAGCCAAAGGCCACAGAAGATTATTCTCAAGCCTTGAAACCTAATGGTGGAATTTAGAAATTGCCTGGAACCAGTGATTCCTTTTTATCCCTTTCATTTTTTTCATTCTTGAATGGAAGTGTCTATGACTACTCTCCAATGCCAATCCTACTCATTGTATTTTGGGAGATCACTTGTTTCAGGTGCAAAGATGGAGAGGAATTTTGCCCCAGAATGAATCTTAGCCAGAGTCTCACCCATACCAGATCATTAAATGATGAGAGTGGGACTTTGGGCCTGATGATACTTAGTTGAAATTTTGGATTTAGTGTTGATCCTGCAATGAGCTGAGACTTTGGGGGACCTTGGGATGGGGTAAATGTATTTTATATGTGAGACAGAAAAGAATCTTCGGGAGTCAGAGGGCAGACTGGTAGGCTGAAATATGCCCTCTCCTGAAGTTATATCCATGTCCTAATCTCTGTAACCTATAAATATGCTACCTTACATTTTTAAAAAGTGCATTTCCTTTTGTAATAGAGTATTAATTTGTATTAAAGAGATACTTAAAAAGAAGTGTTCTGAGATGGGGAAATTATCCTGATTTATCTAGATAGGCATGATATAATCCTAAGGGTCCTTGTAAGAGAACGGCAAGGCTCGGCTCAGTGGCTCAGCCTGTAATTCCAGCACTTTGGGGGCCAAGGCGAGTAGATTGCCTGAGCCCGTGAGTTCGAGACCCACCTGGGCAACTTGGCGAGACCTTATCTCTGCAATAAATCAAAAATTAGCCTGGTATGGTAGCATGTGCCTGTAGTTCCGGGTACTTGGAAGGCTGAGGCAGAAAGATCACTGGAGTCTAACAGGTCGACCCTGGGGTGGCCATGAGTGTGCCACTGCACTCCAGCCTAGGCAACAGTAAGACTCCAACTTAAAAAAAAAAAAAAAAAAAAAAAAAAAAAGGAAGGTCAAAGAGAAGACAAAGTGACAAAAGATGGAAAGGGAGAGAGAAAAAAAAAAAAACAATGTGATGTCCACCTGTGAGCCAAGGAATGAGGACAGCCTTTAGAAGCTAGCAAAGGCAAGAAAATGGATTCTCCCCTAGAGCCTTGAGAAGGAGTCAGCACTCCTGATACCCTGACTTTAGCCCAGTCAGATTGATTTTGGGTTTCTGCCCTCCAGAATTGTAAAATATTAAATACATGTTGTTTTAAGCTACTAGGCTTGTGGTAATTTGTTACCTAAGTAACAGGAAACTAGCACAGAATAGATGCTAATTATAAGTAAATACTTAGGTAATAGTTCTCTAAGAGCTATAATTTACAAAGTACTTTATAAACATATACTAAATGTGGACATAAAAATCCTAACTGCCCCATCAGAATTTCTTAAGTTTGTTACACAAAGACAACCATACAAATTATATATACAGGTATGCATACAGTGGCACTCACATTTGAAGGCAGAAAATATAAAAAGATGACATTTAATACAAGAGATAAGAGTCTATTCCTGACTATGTCTGTGTCTCATAAGAAAAGACTGTGGTGAATAACTAAAATTAAATTTGAAATATTTAATTGTGGGAACAACTGTGATGATCATCTTCACAGTGCTGAGCACCTTTCTGTACAATGCCTGTGTTCCATAAAAGTTTGCGAATAGAGACTTAATAAAAAAAAAAAAAAATGAAGAAGAAAAAGTTACATCCTTAGGTAGGTTTTACTTTTTATCATTTAGATACAGCTTCATTTCAAATTAACCTAGAAGGAACTAATGACAAAATAAAACTGAACAGATTTTTTTTAAGTGGAATTTTTTAAAGGACTTATAAGGTAAAATAAAAATAAATACATACATACATACATACATACACACAAACATAAATAGGAAGGTTCTACTTCTGGTTAGGGTGTAGATGGTCACTCATATACACACCACATACACATGCGCATGCACACACACGCACACGCACACACACACAGTGTTTTTCACTATAATAACAAAATACCAATACATTAAAAAATCATGTCCTTTGTTAAAGTTGAAGAGATCTAGACACAAATCTAAATAAATATAATTCCAGGGAGACATGAGTCCTTTAGAATAGGAAGACATTTGTGGCTGCTTTTACCACTGGGGTATGAATAGGTAGAAGAGCTAGCCTGCTATTGGCAAAGAAACTGCTGGAATAAAGAGAAAGGAGGCAAACTTTTATCAGCCAAGCATTGGCTGCTGTGACAGATTGGAAAATGGAAAAACAGAGCTAACCCTCACTGCCAGTCAATTCTCCTTCACAATATTTCTGCTTACAAATGCTGGTGGTGGAAAAAACTGGTGGCTGAGTGGAAAGCAGAAAGAGATTTCACATGTTTAGATTTCAAATGCTGCTATAGGGCAAGACCTCGCCCTCAAGAGGAAATAAGATCTGAAATTCCACTCAACTCCTGATTGGATCAAAGAGATCTGGCCTAGTCAACTTAGCTGCCTGACAAGGGAAAGGATAAGGTTTTCTGGGAATAAAAATTATCTGCCTCAGTCTTGGTGTTCTTTTAAACCCAGTGAAAAAGTAAGGCAAGTGAAGAAGTAGGAAAAATGCAAACCATAATTAAGAGAAAGGAAAAAAAAAAACCACAAAAGGAGGAAAATAGCTAATAAATGGTTAGTATTAACAGGAACTTTAAAATAACTACTATGTATAAGTGAAAAAATTTAAGAAAAAAATACATTAAATGGATTAAATTTCAGCAGAGACACGAAAACTAAAAACGAAGCAAGTAGAAATTCTAGAACTAATAAGTACAATATTTGGAATGATTACTTCATTGGATGGGCTTAAATGGACACAACAGAAAAAAGAATCTGACAATAAAAATAATCAAAAATAAAGCATACAGAAAGAAAATCAATCAATAATAAGAAACAAAACAAAACTTGAGTGTTGCAGTTCTATAGTATAAGACCAATGGTCTAACATATGTGCAACTGCACTATAGAAAATGAATGCAGTAGAACTGCTGGAAGACATACTAGACGAGAATTTTACAAAATGCTTGAAAGACATTAACCCACTACAGTGAACCTCAGAGCAGAAAATAGGCAAAAATCATACATAGGTCAAATTGCTGAAAACCAGGGTAAAAAGATAAAGGCAACAAAATAACATGCTTAAAATCTGAGGAAAAAAAAGAAACAAACAAAGAAACTGGCAACATAGACACTTATACCTATGGAAAATATTTGTCAAAAAGTTAAAAAAAAAAAAAAGGTGAAGCAAAGGCATTTTCAGATAGATAAAAGATGAGAAAATTCATCCTGTACTATAAAAAAAAAAAATCCTCCAAAAAGAAGGGAAATGATGACAGAGGAAAACCAAGATCAGTAAAAAGAAAAAAAAAAAAAAAAAATCAGTGGGGTAAATATCAAAGGAAATATCAAACAATATAGTTTAAATTAGCTTAAATATCTTTAAAAAACAACTGACTACTTGAAGCAAATGTAATAATATATTGTGGTGTTACAATATATGAGGAAATAAAATATAACAACAATAACGTAAAAAACAAAAGGGATAATAGAATCACACTAGTATAAGGTTGTTAAATATTTCGAAGTTGTATAATACTGTTGAACGATAAAATGAGATGAATTAATTATCCGTATTATAATCTAGAGTAACCACTTAAAATCAGATAAAAACTAAAGAGCAACAAATAAAATATAACATAAAACAAAAATAAAAACAAACCTCAATTTCTCAACAAAGAAAGAATAGATGAGGAAAACAGGAAGGAAAGAATAAAAAGATGATAGAATTAAATCCCCAAATACAAACAATTACATTAAATGTAACTGTATTCAGCACTCCAATTAGAAGAGAAAGACTTTAAATCTGGGTGAGAAAAAAAACCACAACAGACCCAACTCTATGCTATTTATGACAAACATACTATCAAGAAAAAGACAGCTGGGCTCGGTGGCTCAGCCTGTAATCCCACGCCTTTGGGAGGCTGAGGTGAGTGGAATGCCTGAGTCCGCGGGTTTGAGACCCGCCTGGGCAGGTGAGACCTCATCTCTACAATGAATCAAAAAATTAGCCGGGCATGGTAGCGCACGCCTGTAGTTCCAGCTACTTGGAAGGCTGAGGTGGAAGGATCGCCGGAGCCCAGCAGGTCAAGGTTGTGGTGGCCGGGAGCGGCCACTGTACTCCAAGTCTGGGTGACAGAGTGAGACTCCAACTCAAAAAAAAAAAAAAGAAAAAGACATAGAATTAAAGTAAAATGATAAACACTGCAAACACTAACCATAAGAAAGCCAGAATGTCTATATTAGTATCAGAAAAAGCAAATTTTAAGTGACAAATATCATCAGTGATAAAGGTGGATATTTCATAATGACAAAATGGTTATTTAAAAAGGGCAAAGTTGGTTCTCTGCTTGACTAACAAGACTGACAAATCTCTTCTCTTGCATACAATATCTGAAGGTTTATGAACCCCTTGTGTGTTTATGGACCTCTATTTAAGAATTTCTTTTCAAATTCACATTATTGTAGAACTCAATTGTTTTCTTTTCAAGTACACGATTCTTTCAATCCTTGACAGTCATTTTTATTATTATTTACTTAGTTCTTGCAGGTCATCTTACCTGAAACTTAACCTTTTGATTAATGTCTGATAAATGGAACTGCTTCAGGAAGCGCTCATCCTCACTCCAGAAGAGGCGGATGTCAGGAATGTCGTAAAGGATCATGGCCAGTCTTTCTAGTCCTAGGCCAAAAGCCCAACCAATTCGATCTTGAGCACCAGCTACAATTAGGAAACAAAACAACTGTTTAAAAAAGTATAAAAACTAAACAGGTGCATACCACTCCCTGACAGTCATCAGTAACACTGAGTAGGAGCCTACTCAATGAGTAGACAAGGCTATGAAGACATCTGGGAGGGTGCAGTCTTACATACCTCTTCCTTTCTACTTTCCTGATTTCTCTCAAGGAAGTACTCTGAAGTCATACTGTCTGAAATATTGTCTCTCATTTCTGATTAGATTTCAGGGTTTCTTATGATTTTTCTATTATCTTTGCTTATCCTGATTCAAACATTAGGCTTACTGTGTGTAGGTGACAGAGGGGAAAGAAAAAACAGTCTCTGTCCCTAAGTGACCAGACAGGGAATTATGTTCAAAACATGCCATAGTGGACCATTAACATTCATAAGATGTGTGCCAGGCCTTTAGAAACTCAGCTTTATTAAAACATCATAATGCTTATTTAAGTAAGAGCTACCGCAATAACACATAGAGAGTCAACAAGTCAAGGTGAAATGCACACTAAGTACCACTTACCCCAAAGGTATAGTGTCCTGTTCAGATTATGTCAATGGTATGAATTCTAAGAGTTTATTTCATATTTCATATATGTGATGCAATATCAGAGAGAAGAAGAAACTGCTAAACGAAGGAAGGCAAGGGAGCAATCGTACTGCTGTACAGCTTATGAAATGAGCTCATGAAAGGGACATCATCCAACAGGACACTAAAAGATGAGTAGGATTCTGTGGCAAGGTGAGACAGCCCTCAAGATCCTCACTCCAACAGGAACACGCCCTGTGTTACGCCCACCTGTGAGTGTGGGTGGGACCTGTGCATAGCATGGCATTTTCCACCTGTGACTGGTTTACTTTATGTAAGACTCCACCTAGCCAACTGGAGAGAGCCCCCTGCGGGCTGTGTGAGAGGCCATGTGCCTGGGCCCTCAGGAAGGCCTCAGGAGGAAAAAGGGGTGTGGCAGCCAACCAGAAGATGGGAACCTCACTTCTGCAGTCAACAGAACAAATCTTCCCAACAGCCTGAAGGAGTGAGAAGAGGATCCCAGCTCTGGGTGAGAACATAGCTCTGCTGACACTTTGATTTCAATCTGGTGAGATCCCGAGTAGGGGCCCCACTAACACATAACCAGACTCCTGATGCAAGGAAATTGTCAGGTAATTTGTTATTCAGCAAAAAAACAAACAAAAACTGATCCAGAAGATTCAGAATGTGGAGAAAGGTGATGGCAAGTTCCAGACTAAGGGAATCTCTTCAATAGGGAAAGGGTACACACAGAAAGACTGGGGAGGGGAATCTGAAGACACAGATGGGACTCGTCTCAATGAGTTAGTTTTAACATTTTGCTGTTGTTTTTATTTTGCATGTAATGTATTTCTAAAACATTACTTACAATTGTTTTACAGATCCCCATTGACACTAGCTAAGCTTGAACATTTATGGAGCCACAAGATTAGATGTACAAGGTCCAAGAGGAAAAAGTTTCACTCTAAGTTAAATACTTATACCTTGGTCTATCACTTGACATCAAGACAATCATAAATTCAAATGAAAACATGGACATTCAGCGTAAGCTACAGATAGATTGAGAGACACTGATCTTCAGCTAAGAGGTTTTAAAAAATTTCTAACACATTGCAGCCTGATCATTTTGTCACGTATAAAATTAGGCACATGACACTTGGCTCAACAACAACAGAATTCACATTCTTTTCAAGTACACATGGATCATTCACCACTATAGACCATAAACTGAGACACAAATTCCAACTATTTAAAAGAACTGAAATTGTTCAAAGAATGTTGTCTGTCCAAAACACATATAAATCAGAAATCAACATTAGAAAGATAAATTAAAAACCTCCCAAATATGGGGAAATTAAACAACATACTTCTAAATAACCCATGAATCAGAGAAGTAATCACAAGGGGAATTAGAAAATACATTGAAATGAATAAAAATTAAGTTGTGGAACATCATAAGTGGAACTCATAAATTATTGGGCCAGAATGCAAAATGATAAAATCACTTTAGAAAGCAGTTCGGTTTCTTACAACAAACCAATTATTCTTAACTGGGAGCAATTTTAGCCACTAGGGGACATTTAGCAAGGTCTGAAAACACTTTTTTTGGGGGGCCAGAACTAGGGTAGGAGTATCTTGACATTTAGTGGGTTGCTAAACATCCTATAATGGACAGAATAGTCCTCCACAACAAAGAATTATCCAATCCAAGACATAAACAGAGAAACCCTGAGTTAAGAACACACTTAGCATTATTTCTGGATATTTACCTAAGATATGGAAATATATGTGCAGTAAGAGTCCAATGCACAAATGTTCATAACAGCTTTCTTCAAAATAGCCCAAACCCAGACACAATGTCCATCAACTAGTGAAGGAAAAATTGTGGTATATCCATATAGTAGAATATTACCCAGTAATAAAAATAAATTGTTTGTACACACAACAAAATAAATGAATCTCAAAAGCATTATGTTTAGCAAAGGAGACAGCCGCCAAAAACTATCTACAATATAATTCAACTTATATGACATTTTAGAAAAGGTAAAACTATACAGACAGATAACAACACATCAGTGGTTGACTAGGATAGGCCATGAGGGAAATTTCTGGCAAGATGCAAATTTTCTATAGCCTGATTTTGGGGTGGTTTTATGACTGTACACATCTTTTAAAACTAATCTATTTTTAAAAGTATAAATTTTATTGTGTGAAAGTACTGCCTCAATAAACTGACTTTTAAAAAACTCTACACTTGATGACATGGCAATCTCAAGTCAAACAGATTTCTAAATGCTCACTCTTAGCTTCCATGGTTATCTCATCATGAACTGGAAACAAATTGTTTGTGGATCAGCCCCATTCTGAGGATCACACTTTGAGTAGCAATGATTTGAATGATGAAGAGTATGCTTATGCTTTTAAAAAAATACCTACAGAATTAAGAAGTTTCATGTAAAACTTACACACTCTAAGAATTTCCCTGTAGACCCCTAGGACTCTGCAGACTGTAGACTGAGATCATGAGACCGGGGAACAAGATACAACCCTAACAACACAACCAAAAGCCCTTCACATCTGGTGCCTGGCTCGCCACCTCAGATAGTTCACAGTCCTCTAAACATCGTATCTTCTTATCATAATATCACTATATTAGTGTGTCTTTTCAAATTTTTGTTCCTCTCCTAAAGTGAGCTCTCATCCTCTTCCAAAGCCTGATGGAAATATTCTGTGAGATTCTTCTTCTGACTCTCAAGGATGAATTAAGTTTGCCTTCTTCTCTCCTTTCACAAACACACTGAACATACTTTTATTGGCACTATCACATTTGTGAGTCTCCACATGTAAAACTGAAACTACCAAGAAAACGGTCCCAAAACCATATCACATGTATTACAAATTACTCAATAAATGATTTTCAGACATACATCTACACTAATGAGAACAAGAGACTCCCATGTTGTGGATTCGTTGGGTCATTCTCACAGTACAAAGTTAAAGATCACTACAATGAGAATGAATGAAGTTGCTAAGGAAAAAAATCAAAAGAGCCAGAGTTCTGAAAAGCAAAATTTGCACAATGTTCACAATTAGGGGGTGAAAGGATAAAGGGGAAGGGAAGGAAAAAAAGGAGCTAAATGCTTAATTCATTGCTTGCTGGACAATATCAGTTTCACAGATGGGAAATGCAAATAATCACAAAATGCTTAGAAGTAACAAAATGAAGAGGAATAAATACCATTTAAAAGTCAAATCTGCCAGGGGTTGGTGGCTCAGCCTGTAATCCCGCGCCTTTGGGAGGCTGAGGTGAGTGGACTGCCTGAGCCCGCGGGTTCGAGACCCGCCTGGGCAGTGAGACCTCAGCTCTACAATAAATCAAAAATTTAGCCGGGTGTGGTAGCGCATGCCTGTAATTCCGGCTACTTGGAAGGCAGAGGTGGAAGGATCGCCGGAGCCCAGCAGGTCGAGGCTGCGGTGGCCGGGGGCAGCCACTGCACTCCAGTCTGGGAGAGAGAGTGAGACTCCAACTCAAAAAAAATAAAAAATAAAAATAAAATAAAAGTCGAGTCTGTATGGGATTTGCCAGAACAGAAATATCAGAAACAATAAAAAATAAAGGTATGAGTCCAAAATCAAATTGTCATAAAGTAATGAAAAATAGTGAAAGTCCCCATTTAGTCCTTTTCTCCGAGCTAAGCCACGGAGTTATAAAACACCGAGGGCCTCAAGCAGCCAGGCCCTCATGCAGTCATGGAGGATGGTCCAGAAACATGGCTCAGGCAGAGGGTTAAAGGAAAAATGAGCTTCACAAGAAAGGCAGCCACATGGCTGTCACCACAATGGCAGTCCAACTTAGCTGTATGTCCCAGAGTCAAGGAAGTCCTGATGAGGCCCAGCTTCTGAATGGAACAGGTTAAGAGCAAGCAGGGGTAACGCTGCCAGCTGAAAACCACATCTGCAGAAGAGGCAAGTCTGGGCTCTCCTTTGTGAGGAGGTGAGGTGCACACTGCGACTCATGCTGAGGGTATGAGTTCAGCATTTTGCATTCGAAATGGTCACAATAGATAGTTGGTCTGCCATTTAATTACTGCAACACAGAATGGCTTAATATCAATTAGTTTAAAATTAAAGTCATTATTCAGATTGGCTAATATCCAACAATTCTATTTGAGAGATCAAAACAATCAGTTACCTTCACATAACAATTTCCAATTACTTTTTTCAGAAGGCTCACTGGAAAATTACACTGTTGAAAGTCAGATGCTATAGAGCTGTTTTATTAGAACGGTTCACTGGTCTAAGCAGATAGCCAGCAGGACTACGCTGAAATGTTCACAGCTGTGCTAGGGATATGCATGACTCAGGAGCCTCCCATATGTCAGTAGAACAGAAGGAAACACTTTTCTAAAGACCGGGGACTGGCTTTACCTGAGAGGACCCAAAGCTAAGGTAGCCTAAA